TTTTCGTGCATAATAGTTTCTATTGTATCTTTTTCGATTTTCTACAAATATATTATTTGGATAAATAGTCATATATTATAAATGCAAATATATACTTATGTAAACGACATACCTTTTTCTATATCTATCAGGTTTTGGGAATCATTATAGTTTTCGTTTCCCTTATCTAGGGTCCTCATTGAACACTATAATGGAAATGTTAAGGATAAGCACATATTATATCATCAAGAATGTAACATTTTCTAATGTAGAGCATGTGATTTAGTAGTCATGTATGTGTGTGTTTCAGAAAGCAACACAACCTTTAATAAATAACCAACTATACTAAAAACTTGTAATCCAAAAACACAATAGCAAAATAAACCACACATGAAAATATCCATAGATATCCAAAAATTATTATTCATCAATTCATAAGTCAACACAAGAAAAATAAACCACACATGAAAAAATTCGCCACAATATGTCTAACATTAATGTAGATCAACTATAAAAGCAACGCACTCATAAAAGTTGTCAAAACTTCAAAAAAAAAAAAACCCACCAAATGTCTCACACAGAATTAAAAATTCTTCTAGGCATATTTATGATGTTAAATGCTTCCGGCATCCTCGGTTGGAACTCTACGTTATTTAGTTCGGTTGATATCAAAATGTTCACTGAAAATAAGATAAAAACTATTAAAATGTATTGATTTAGTTATTTTAATATCACTACAAGCATTATAATTTTCTAGAAAAAACTTACTTGAATCCAAATGAACCAATTTAGTATGCACACCGAGTACAGAGACCTCGACAAGATTTCCATTAGGAATCATTAATCTCTATCTCGCATAGATGGATCGTTTAACCATTCAGAAGGGACGAATTACCCTTCGAAGATGGATTTGAGATCCAAGTATCACCAGTTATGAGTGTTAGAGAAGGATGTCCCGAGGATGGCCTTCTGAACACGATACAGACACGAGTCCCTAGTAATACCTCTTAGATAAGACCAATGCGCCCGTAGTATTCATGAACTTAATGAATAGGGTATGCCGTCGTTACTTGGATCAGTTCATCATCTTCCTTATAAATGACCTACTTATCTACTCACGTAGTAAGAAAGATAATAAAAGCATCCACGACTCAACTTACCCCGCGAACTCAGTAACATACATTCTACCTTCCACGTCTCGAACTTGAAAAAGTGTCTGTCCGACGAGACTCAATTAATCCCACTCGACAAGATCGAGTTCAATGAGAGCCTCAACTTCGTGAAATAACCATAGTGACTAGGGACTGAGAGGTCAAGCAGACGAAGCAAAGCCGCATCCCATTAGTGAAGGTTCGCTGGAACGCCAAGCAGGGACCTGAATTCACTTGGGAGCGTGAGGATCAATCAAAACCAAATTATCCTCATCCCTTTACTTGATTATTCGTAACTACTTCCTAGATTAAACTATAATTTCGGGACAAAATTCCCTCTAATGAGGGGATGATGTGGCAACCTGAAGTTTTCTATCATGTACAGTCAAACACTTCATTGAAAGTCAAACTAGTTTTTGCGATCATTTAGCACCAATTGGAGTCTATTTGAGCATTTTGAGCCTTGTACACTTAAGGGATAAGTATTGGGGTTTATCTCCTGAGGCAATAGTACAAAGATCAGGCCTCAAAAATCCATGACCATGAGTTCACGGCCACCACACTGGAGTTTACGTCCGTAAACTCCATGTGGGCCGTAAACTCACCCTATATTCTCAAGTTTTGGCCATTTGTTTCATTCCTTTCCTCTTTGGCTGATTTTCCTTCAAATCCTCTCAAGTATCATCAAGACTTCCTTCCAAAATCTTCAAAGGATGCAAGTATTCTGCCTAGAATTCTTGATACATCTCTTGATCTAGTATCCTTACATGAAATCAACCATACAAATCATGTTTTCATAGATCATCAAGTTTCACCAAGAACACACACTAGTGTTCTTGGCCAAAACCAACCAGTTTAAGCTCCTATATCATAAGCGCTCTTGTTCTAACTTGTTATACAGTAGATTAAACATGTTTAGGCCTTAGAATTGTCATGAATTAAGAGTTGGATAAGATTTTACGGCCACATATCTCCCAAGGTCGTAAACTCCCTTTAAGGGTGCATTGAAGCCTTAAATTCCTTCTTTATGCTTAGAAATTCGATTAGAACCTTCCACCAATGAACTAGGGACATTAAAATTTAACTTGGTACTCAGTACCATTATTTTACAACCGTAAACTCATGCAAGAATGGTCCTTTGGCCGTAAACTCATGTTAAGGTGAATTCTTAGACCTTAAACTCATATTGACACTTGTTTGACCTTGGAACACTTAAAAACTTGAGACTCCATACCTTTAAGCCTCTAAATATGACCCTTTAGAGATTTTACGGCCAGGAGTAAACTCCGCTGGGCCGTAAACTCCATTAAGTGTGGTCCTTGGGACATAAACTCAATAGCAATGCCTTACACTCCTTTGTTGCAACCCAATGGCCTCCTAGTACTTAAATCAAAGTGTTTTCATGTCCTAGGATGTCTTAACTTAGATAATTAGTTGTTAAATAACTAATTGTATACATATATGTGTTATTATATGTTATTTAGGATCATTGTGTGTGTTCAAGTCTTCACTTGACACCTGACACCTTTTCCGACACTTCCGTACAATCCAATTACTGTAGGTGAGTTCACACCTCTTAATTAACCTTTTAAATGTTTTTAAAATGCTTTTTTTGGGGGGAATACAAGTTGAATCATATTAGTTATTATATCAATCGCATGTGATTAATAACTAGTACATAACTGGATTTACTACGCTTTTAGCTGTTTTACCAAGCATACTACTTCAATGAATTCCTCAAACGTTTTTACATGTTAAACTCTTTGTGAAACTGTCTTACATACTGTATCTTTCCTTTCAAACTAAGGATTTCTTATACTTTAAACTCTTCTTACCAAACAAACTGCTTTTATATCATTTTACAAACTAACATCAAGTCATTAATTTTTATTTATTAAACTTTTCAAAGGTTTTAGAAAACTTCTTTTAAACTTTTATATTATCAAATGCATGCCTATATATTGTGTATACAAACATAGACATAAAAATTATATTAGTCAATTCAGTACCTTTGGGTAGCATATGCATACTTTCGGTTATAAACGTACATTACTAGTAAATATAATAGGTATAGTTAGGAGATACTACTTACTATTCCTAGTACAAGGCATCACACAAGAGTCAGTTCATTCATGAGTCTATACAAATATATTACATACTATATGAAGAGATACTATTACATACTATATGAAGATATACTATTACATACTATATAAAGAGATACTATTAAATGCTATATGAAGAGATATTATTGCATACTATATGAAGAGATACTATTACATACTATATGAAGAGATACCATTACATACTATATAAAGAGATACTGTTAAATACTATATGAAGAGATATTATTCTACACCCGGCTGTTAGCTACAGTGGGAAAATGCACATCGACGGATCTCTACAGTTGTACTGTTCGGCGAGTTACTATGACACGTTTATCCTAGACAAATGGATACGATTTCTTATTCTCTTTATTTTGTGATACATTCACATAAGCAATTTCTTATTATCTTTATTTTGTGACACATTCACATAAACGATTTCAATGATTGTATAATTTTCCCTATTATCTTTATTTTTTGACACATTCACATAAACGATGAGGTAGACTATATTTTGATAATAATAGTTGTACATGGGGAAAAACCTTCATTCATGCGCGGAAGCAAACCTCCAACACTGTTGGGTGTTGGTAGAAGACTATATTTTACACTAGTAGGAAATATGAGATTTTCTAGGGTTTTCATACTTATACAAACTTTTTCATCAAACATTTACAAGTCTTTTCTTTACAGTTTTACAAATCAAAGACTCTAAAATACTTACGAATTCACCAGCTTAAATGCTGATCTATGCTTTTAAAATAACTTGTATTCTTAGCTCATTTGTAGACAGGTGCCGATGCCAACTTTTGAGAAGATGAAGCACATAGAAGACTCGTCTTTTATTTTGATTCATATTTTGGTGTCTTATAAACCACAGAACACGCATGTATTAAAACTTTACTATAAATGCAATGGATGATGTTGTTGTTTGTTTACTACTTTGCATTGTTATGATACTTTACATGACGTCCTCCGCCACATAATGTTTCCGCCGTTCCTGATTTTGGGGTGTGACACTTATATTAGCCGAAACACATACTTGTAAGGTTTATAAGTGAGTGTGTGTGTGTGTATAGAGAGAGAGAGAGAGAGAGAGAGAGCTAGTTTCAGGTATTTAAAGTAATTATTGTGTTATTGTATGAATAAATATAGGCCAATCATTTCAAAAGGGTAAATATATAATCATACATTTAATTAATTATGATCAAGGTTGTAAAAATCGTTCGGTGGCAACGTGGCGGTCGACTCGCGATAAGCGATTAATCAGACTAGGCGATGATTAATCGAAGATTAATCGGAGACCCTTAATTATTAATAAAATTGTTTCAAAAATTAATATTCCCTAAAAACTAAGTATTTGAAAATTTAAAATTTTAATATTTTAAAATTTTTAAAAGTTTAGTTTACTATTTTAAAATTTGAAAGCTTAAAATTTTGAAAATATAAAATTTTGGTGCAATATTTGAAAATTAAAAATGTTTGAATTTTTTTAAAAATTCCCGCTAATGACCGCCGAGATCACCAAGGGCTGCCAAAGCCGACTTTGACTGATTTTGACCACTTTTCGGCAAGCACCCTAATCGTAATCGGTTTAAGACCGCCAAACGATTAATTACCGATTAATCGGCCGCCAAGACCGATTTCTACAACACTGATTGTGGTAAATATATAAATCAATTAATATCCCTTTAATTTAGGAATATTAGTTTTAAAGCCCAATTTCTAGTATATATCCTCACGTCCGCCTCTTCCCTCTTCTCTTCTATTCAACGTCAGCCCCAACCTTTTCCCTCTCATCTCCCTTACGTATACACTCCACTTCCGGCCGAACAAGCACACACACGACGACATACTCTAGAATACACATCCAAACACGAGCAGAAACACCCGTACTCACGTGAAACACAACGCGACAACCAATATATTTCTTCTTTCGATCGCTCGTTGCCACAGTTACAATCGGCGGCCTTCTTCTTTGATGCTCGTTGAAGCGGCGATGGTAGTTGGGCATCGGTAGTTCACAACAGCCATATAAACATGGCAGTGGCTGAGCGGTTCACAGCAGTTAGCCACCACAAAAAGGGATGGTGGTGTGACATCCCTAGACTTCTTACATCCGACTAGCTTGCTCTCTTTCAGACGTATGAGCGGGTGGCTTCGGCGATTTCCGGCTCGAATGGCGAAAAGGAGGTGGCGGGTGAGGGATGGGGTATAAGATGCAGCTGTAGCACCCTCTTAGGGTTAGGGTTCTTATTGCGGTGGCTGTAACACATTCTCATCCGAAATTGAAAGTTGTTTTGATGCACACCAAGTGCTCGATAAAATGCTTCAGCTTAATGATATTTCTTCGTTTTTAGTATTCTATTAAAAAAGAATGTTTTTTATGATAACCATGAACATATTCTGGTAGAATTCTACGTATTAATATAATTATTGGTAAATGAATTCCAATTCTATCATAATGGAATCACGAATTCCAATTATGTTGGAATGGAATATAAATATTTTCTCACTAATTTATTATTTGATTTGTTTCTACAGAAGCTGATACTTGAAGATCGGGCGACGAAATCTGAACGATGCCTCTTAACAACATTATTATTTTAAAATGTAGTAGTGTCTTTGTTAGATTTTGATGTTTTTTTTCCAGATTTGAAAGTTGTTTTAGTTTTATTCTTTAATAATAAGTATAATTCTTAGTAATTGTTACATGTATTCTATAAGAATTACTGTAATTTTTGTTTTAATTATTCAATTGATGGTTCGAGAATTTTGTTATTCTACAAGATATTTTTAAAGTCATGATCAAGAAATACGTTTAATAATATTTTTATTATTTTATAGTTCAAGATTTTTTTTTTTTAACATACTCCAACATATTCTGTCAGAATGTCCGAATTAAAAACCTTATAATTCGTAAAATCAGATTTTTAAAATTAGTTTAATAGAATATATGATCCCTTAAAATATACAAATTTCCTTTATTAAATCTAAGTTATTTGACTAAAATACCTTTCTAGTTAAATTAAATGTTATTTTTCAATTATATTAATTTAATAATATGTATTAATCACTTTCTTAAAATAAGTAAAATGATTGATCGATTTATACGTATAATAACATAATAATTAGTTTGAATATAATAATCTAAGTCTATATATATATATATATATATATATATATATATATATATATATATATATATATATATATATATATATATATATATATATATATATATATATATATATATATATATACACACAGACACACACACGGTAAACACTTATATACGGTAAATACATACTTTTTTGTTATAAAAATAAATACTATTTTATATAAGTTGGCAAACATTTATATACTATAAACGTATATTTATTATCATAAAATGTATTTATTTATATAAGTTAGAAAGCATTTATATACCGTAAAATTATATTTTTTGTTTTAAAAAAGTGTAATTTTATATAACTTAGAAAACACTAATATGTTGTAAATGTATACTTTTGGGTTAACAAATACTTTGAGTGAAAACATATGAACTCACGAATTTTATATTGACGGTACCTTTCAAAACACGTTGTATTATGAAAAGTTTAAAAAAGTTGTAGTTAAAAACACTTGGAAAATCTCGATGAGAATTTAGTTATCAATCATAGTTCTGTATTTTTATTTGTTTAAATGCCTAACTGTTATGCCACACCACCGTACTTTGAACTACTATGTAATAACGAACCTGATAGCTATTATTTTGTAATCTCTTTTATTCAGAAATAGAAGCTATATTATGTTATTTTTTTATACTGTTCTGGGAATGCAAATGATCTGTGACTTAAGAGACAAAGGTTCATCCGCGAAGACTTTGGGCTCCTCTTGAAGTTTCGCAAAGTGTGTCGGAAACTTCGGTTCCTAGGAGGCCAAAAAAATTGGCTTTATTTTGAAAAAAAAAAAAAAAAAACGTTTATCCCAATGGTATTCACGTTGTTCTTTCAAGAAGGTAGTTTGTAAGTTCGATTTCTACATGTTACACTTTTCCAGTTCAAAAAAACCACCTATGTTTTAATCTTTTATCAATTCAACCACTTAAATATTTTGGAGTAAACTTCTAATATTCTACAAACTACAGGTACTATTTCTTAAATTTAGTATAAATGTAATATACTAATATGGTTTTAGCCTCTCATTTCGTGCCACATGTTAAGTGGATGCGTCGACAGCGTGGCTTCTTATTCTCCACGAGTTTTCCCCGTATACTAATATAGTTATGTATCCTTTTCTACTTTAAAGCGACAATTGCTTTCCATAACGAAAAAATGTTACCAGTTATGATGTCCCCTTATAATTGCAAATGATTTACAATTTTTATTGTATAGCACCTGAACTTGCCGACAAGACTGAAGAATTGACGATTGACATTTGAATACTAAAACATGTTAAAATTACATAAATAATCTGGCAAATGCTTCAAAGACTTACGACACGAAATCAGAAATTAGCGACAGTATACTCATAGAGCAAATGTTGGTAACGCTTCAAGAAGCGGATCCTTAGGCATTATGACACCGACTCAAATCCATGAACTGGTGGAGAAACTAGTCATTGTGTCTTAATCGCTTAAAAACTTGGCACCCAAGTGATACGTGTTAAATAATGCAAGAAGACGCCGCTGCTGTAAAAAATGTTGAAGGTTACAAACAAAGATTTTAATCTCCGATAGCAGTATCAGCATCCACCTAGTCTCCGATAATAGTGTAGATTTCAGCAGAAGCAACCAAATTTTTAGCAGAATCTGTTGCAACACAACTTTTAGCAGTAACAACAGTTTCATTAACAACCTGGGAAACTACTATCTAGCAGCTCCATCGTTACATTAGAGGATGTCGTAAAAAGCTTGGCTATCAATAGTTATACATTATAGAATGAAACAATAGCAAGCATCAAAAAACTTAGAACAACAAATGTCTCGGCTTGCAACTTGTCGTGTCGATTTGAATCTCAAGGTAAACTGCATGCACAAACATAAATAATTGAAAACAACATTTCAGAACAATTACCTTAAGAAGTATAAAACAATTATGAAAGCCTGAGCAAACAGAAAAAAAAAAAAAAATTGTGCTTAAAAAAATCATGAAAAACTTTCGAAAGATGGAGATAAATATTCCGTTACTTGAAGCTATTAAACAAATTCTTCAAGCAAAATTTTAAAAAGATCTTTATGTTAAGGAAAAGAAATTAAAAGGCAACGAGGCCATTCAAGTTGCCAAAAAAGTATTTCTTCAATTGAAAAAAATAAGTAAATAAATAAATAAAAGTTTATTGCAAAGTGCAAGGATCCTGGAAATGCCTCGATTACTTGTAAACTAGAGAAGAAGCCCATGCTCCGCGTGGGTCAAAAATTTTCTTAAAGCCGTCGTTTTGTCCATTTTGTTGAATTTGGTTTCTTTGTGAAGAATATCCTCATTAGTGCGACTGGCTCCCGGGGAAAAGGAATTACACTAGATCTTGGCAATGGCACTCCAACAAGCTCGCCCAAAAGCGATGATTCACTTGTCCCCTTGTCCATAGGGACCTCGTGGCATACAACCGAAACGACTCCCGCTAGATAGCCGCTGACCAATATACCAAAAAGATTAAACATAACAACTTGTTAAAATTATGAAAAACCTTTTCAAAATTGTTATCATCATCATTGACACATCAAATTTGGATCTTTATAAACATCGCATTTTTTGGCTTATGAATTACAATATAGCCCTTGCCCTTTCGTATGTTTTATGCTCTTCTCTTGTAAATTTTAAAATTTTAAAATTTATGGTTTTTATGGTTTTTGATGAAGACTATCTCCATATCTACTCCTCCAATTTCAACCTTGACTATAGAAGCTATTAGAGTGTTTGAGAGTGTACAATGAGTAATCGTTATCAATTGAGGAAGCATAATGTCGATTTACCCGTGGAACCAGCATATCCCACCTACAAAAGCACAACAATTTTAGATTCTACCAAAACAAAACCCTCATTCTTTTTGGATTAGTTGTGCTGATGTATACATTTAGTTCTAAAAAATAATAATAACTGCTACAATATTAAGATATGTTATACATAAATATATATAAAAATACACATATCAAAATACCCCACACTTAGCCTTTGCTTGCCCCCAAGCAAATTTACTTTTATTTTACCAATATTGCACTAAACAATCTATTTAAAACTCAGCCATTATGCCAAGACCTCAACGCATGCATTTGTGTCTAAAATTTTCCTAAAGTACCCCCATACTTTAAATACTCACAATCTTCATAAACACTTGCCCACTTTTTCCGAACAATGCTCATTTTATGCAACCCTCTGAATCCATCTGCAGAAAACCTCCTAACCTCAAGGTATTTTTAGTTGAGCAACCTAAGCATACATAATCTAGAATTACAATTTATGATACCACTATGGAGCTTTTTAGGAATTCTTCACTTTCTTAACAATTTGATCTTTGGTTTCTTTGAATTCACAACCTTATTTGATTTGATTTCTTGGTATCTTCAACTTTTTGAATTTCTTGGAATTTTGATCTTTTGATATTCACTTTATTTGCTCCAAAATTCTTCAAACTTTTTCGTAATTCTCTCTTCTTCTTTTTTTTTTTTTTTTTTTTTTTTTTTTTTTTTGTTTACATATACCTCTCTTTTTTCACTAAAACCTACACTTTAAGCGCTCAACCTCAACCTTTATTGGTTAATGATAATAATTTTCCTGAATACATTTCAGGTTTAGCCTGCTAAACATATTGCATCCTTCAAACCGAGCGGGGTTATGATTTTGTTCCATGATTTCACTAAAATAAGGGAAGCCACAAATGCACTATAACGTATATTGGCTCAACTAAACATTTGAGTTCTCATCGGATCATCTCATACAATATTAGCAAATTTTAAATTATCACTAGATTTTTCTAAATTAAACTATTATTTCAAGTTTTCTTTTAAATTTTTAAATTTCCCTAAATCTAGCAATTTCCAACTATTATTTCATTTTTATAATTTACTTTTACTGACCCCCTACCCCACACTTATTTCATACAATGCCCTCATTGTATGCTAAAACAAATTAAGAACATAAAAAGGGAGAAAAAGGAACAGACTCCCCTGGGTAGTTGTGGCGAGATCGAATGGGGCTGCTACAGGTTGCTTCAAATATTGCTGAAAAACTGAAAACTAGAACTGCTGCTTCTGAATGTGCCGGAAAATACAAAAGAACATTGACTTATGAAATATGGT